TAAATATTTCAACACAAAGGGAAAGAGAAAATATTTTATTTCGTTAATTTCTTTTTTTTTTTTTTTTTTTTTTTTTTTTTTTTTTTTTTTTTTTTTTTTTAAATTAGTACTTCGACAAGACGAGCGAAGTTTTTGACAAACTGGTGATGACAAACACGACTCATGATTTCTCTCAAGCTAGTTTGAAATTACTCATGCTGGAAAAGAATCAATTGGCATTGGGTAAATATGAAATCGTATGAAATAATAATTATGATGAAATGTAATTACTGTAATTAGTATTAAGTCATCGGTATATTAATAGTAATTTTTTATTCAAACAAATTAATTAATTTTATTAAGAGTTCGTTAATAAAAAAATTCAATTAATCATAAAATCATAGTAGGTTTCTTTTCAATTTGTAACAATATTGTAATAACAATCATATATTTATAGTAATGTTTAATAACTTTAGTTTATATTAGATCTTTAAAAATATTTTATTATAAAAATTTAAATAACGTTATAAACAAACGTTCCTCTCGATTTTGTGTATAACAAATGTAACAAATTTTAATCGTATTATTTGATGTATTTTGTAGAAGAATTAGAACATGAACTTGTGAAAGAGGGTGAAAAACTTTCTGATATTTTATCGATGCCTGTCAAAGATGCTTTAGGAAGGGACGTTCACGTTGATTATGGCGAGGATATCGTCAATGTACGTGATATTTTGGATGCAACGATTGCTAGGAAAAATATTTTCAATGACAGCGTGGAATTGCAGAAATTAACTTTGAAACAAATTTCTTTGATACATACATACGAGAACGATGCAGAACAGGTAAACCATAATTAATAAAATAATTTCAATATAATTCCTATTTTGTAATTTCATTTATGGGAAGAATAATATTTCGTAGGCAGTTAAATGGTTAAACGATTTATTCAACGTTCTATTTCAAAATTTAATGGAAGTTGGTTGTAACACCAGTGAAATACAATCACAAAAGGAGCAACATCAATCCTTTCAGGCAACTGCTCAGGCAAGAGTTAGAAATAAATATAATTGATAAATTTGTTCGTTTAAACACAATTTTTCATTCGTATTTTTTACAGGGTACTTTTGAATACGGTTGTCAATTGATAAACGGTGCACGAGTGTTGAGATTGTCTTGCAGATTGCCATTGGACAACAACGTTAATTTGTTATCTAGATTACGTCAAACCTGGAAACAATTACGTTTAGCTGGTCAGGAACAATTAATTAGGCTACGAGTGTGCGCAGTTTTTCATAGAAGCGTCGAGGATGTATGTAAACAAATGATACAAAAAAACACATAAAATTTGGGTTATTGATAAATATTAATATTTTTTTTTTTTTTTTATGAAATTTTTAGCACTGTTCGAAATTGCGAGATTTGATCGACATAGTTGGATCTTTAAAACGTGCCAGAAAAAATGAAGATTTTGTTAGCGAGTGTCGTGCCAGAGCTGAGATAAGAGATATCTTGGGTGATCGGGAAAAACTTTTGTTGGATGTTGGTCGTATGGTCAGATTGGGACGTCTTTTGAGGACCAGATTGAAGGAACCTGTGTGCCATCAACGGCAAGTACGACAACGAATCGACGATTCGTCAAATTATTATTATTATTATTATTATTATTATTATTATTATTATTATTAACACTTTGATTGTCACGTCGAAATCAAATGTTTCGTTTTGGATACCTATAGAATAGTATTTTTATTATTCAAGAATCTTTCATTTTCTACGTGTTCCAATTAAAATTTATAATTGTTCAAAATGTATACTAATTGTTAATTTTCACATTCAACTATTATTACAATTGTCAAAAGTTCAAGGCATTATGATTACCAATGATCAACGTAACAGTTCTTAAAAAACAACAAACAATACAAGAACAAAAATATTTCGCAACGTTATCAATTGATATGTTGATGTCACTAGTCCAAAAAAAAAAAACAAAAAAAATAAAACAACAGAAAACGTAAACCCAAGGATCGTGCAATTGGGTTAATTCAATAAACCTGTGGGGGGGGTAGTAGTAGTAGTAGTAGTAGTAGTAGTATACTTCGTATTATTCTTACGCGACTTTTCGTAAATAAAACTTGAGTGGCCGAGGAAGATAAAATTGAATATAAATTGAAAGAGGCAAAGATGGTGCGGGGACGAAGTGGTTGGTCCAAGTTGGCGGTTAGCACCGTTTTTAAGAGAGACGGGTGTGTCAGTTTATGGCTGCTCGTCGAACGGATAGGCTACATCTTATGACCGGTTGTTCATGTGAGTTACATCAAACCTAACGAAAGATGTTTTTTTTTCCCCCCCCCCCTTTAATTCAGTTGGCTCACCCCTTTCTTTTATTCGTTATCGAATGTTTCATTCATTAATGTGAAATTCTATTAAAAATTTGTTATAGATATATTTAAATAATATTATTTATTAGCCTATTAAAAATTAGGATATGTTCGAATTGTTAGAAACGTGAAAGAGATTCGTGTGAATTAGATCGAACACGTGTATCAAACTAATTCAACTATCTTTTGATGTTTCTCATATATGTTCTTGGCTCGACGAATATGGGACAGTCGCGCATCGTTAACACATTTCAAGAACAGTATTCATAGAAATATATACACGTTCTATTTCACAGGACGGTCATGGTCAAAAAATAACTCAACCAGATAGTGGTCAGGAGTTTATTTTATCGTATTTTGTTTTAACACTTCTTCAATCGTATATATATATATATATATGATATTGTTTTACGAATTATTGTAGTCAAATATTTAGAATTACGTTCGTAAAGATCTCGTGCCGATTTATAAATATAATTTAAAATATTTCAATTAAAAAGTATATTTTTTCGTTAAAATTTCTTTAGAAAATCGTCACGAATTTGTATCGATGCAATCGTGTAGATAACAAAAATACATTTTCTTGCGTTTACATAAAATTGTCAGAAATTTTTCAATCGATTTTTCCCTCTATTAATTAACGATTCGAATGATTCTGATTATATATATATAAAAAAAAAACAAAAAGAAAATATTATACATTCATTTCAGATATTTTTCTATTGCGAATAGATTATTATTATTATTATAATATGATTGTGTGTATGATCGTTTAAAGTTTTGAAAATCTTATTGGCATTTTTCCACGAATCGAATGAACGATGGGGAAAACGATTGAAACCGTACGTTGACGTTTAAATCTTAAATATCATTTTATAATAATTTTTCCTAACGTTGGTAATATAAACGATAAATTTATGGCGTGTATAGATTAAAAATGGGCACACACGATTGAGATATACGTAGAATTGGTTGGTATTGCAGACGGTCGTATCTGTTCCCCCGAAATTAGAACTTCGTCCCACATTGGAATAACCATCTGGCCGAGGATGTGCCATCATGGCGGGCTGTCACTGTTGTCGTCGTTGTATTTCTTACGTAATCACTAAAATTTGACGTTTTATCCTAGTCGGTATTAGCGTATCTAAATATATCAATTGAAAACAGATTCGATAGGTTTGAAAGTTAGGAAGAGGTGATGATCGGAATTGTTTTCGCATTCATTTTCTTCAAACTTCAATTGGTTTTCTATTATTTATATTTAAACAATTTACATACGGATAATTATAGATCAATAGTTTTCCTATTTGTATACATTTATCGAATGATTGGATGTTAAAAAGGAATAAAAATAGATGAATAGATTTTGAATTTGATTGAAATTCATCTTTAAAAGGAAAACTCATTGATACGTTTTTTCCTATCATTATAATATAGAAATAATTTAATGTTAGAGTATTTTATTTGTGGTGTCCTATTTATATATCTATTTATCGACTCGTTGTTGAAAGATTACTCGAAACTATTTTTCTTTTCTTTTCTATTCTATCTTTTTTTTTTAAACGTAACTGAAAACAACATAAGACGCAGTCAAATCTTTTTATACCAAGCCAAAGTATTATAAACATGATATTTATCACTTTGTAGAATGTCCGAAGCCGAGGATGCTTCGGGCAAAGCAGTTAACTTAACAGCAGTCGAAGCAATTTCGGCTAAGTTGGCAGAAGTAACACGGTTAGCTGAAAAATTGGATGCAAAATTGTGCGAAGCTGGAGCAAGGACTCAACCTGTACCGATACCAACCTCGGCATTACCGATTTCATCAACTTTAACATCAACAACTACGACATTAGCACGTACCACGTCTCCAATTGTTTTAACTAAATCCAGTACAACCACTACGACAACTTCATCGATCATTACTGAACCCATCGGTGAAATAATTCCTACATTTGTTTCTACGAATGATTTTACTTCAACTTTGATCGGTGCAAACCCTGCCGCCGATGTGTCCAATTTAACTGTTTCTAATTTTGGATTATTATCATCGTCGTCGTCGTCGTCTGGAGCTATAGTCTCGCATGTTGAAGATACTAAAACTTCATCGGCAGTTTCGTCCATTCCTTCTGGTAGTTTTCCATCGACTATGGCTTCAAACATCTCGTCAATGATCACCGATGATACTATTGAAAAAAAACAAGATATCGTAAGTTGATAATTCAATTAAATGCACGAAGCTGGGATATAAGTATTGTTAAGTTACCATTTTATTTGTCGATTATTTGTTTTTTTTTTTTTTTTTTAGATAAATCAAATTTATCAGTATCTTTTTCGTTTCAATATTTCACATACATAAACAAAATCTTATTTATAATTTTATTCACGATTATAGATTATTTTTATGTACAATACTGATTAAAAAGTTACAGTAGGACGTAATATTTATACTTTTAAAAAATCATTAGATCATTTTGTTTGATTAAAAACAGCACGCGCGTCACGCGTGTTTCATCCCTGCGAATTTTAAAGGATATTTATTTAGGTCATTGAATTTGTTCGAATGGAAATTTGACATTATTTCGGATTTATTATTTGTGGAAATTTGTAAATGATATTATATCAAAATGGTAGCTTTATACTAAATGTCTCATTTTGTAATAATTAATTTCGAAAAATACTACATTATGTAATCTTGTTTTTTAGGAGGATGTTGAAAAATTTAACGAAGAGAACACGACCGAAGATGTCAATGTTGACGGTTACGTGACAGCTACGGAATGTTCGGTCACGCCTACGACAAGATCTAGAAGTGAATCTTTCGTGACAACTCCGGAATGCGAAGATCCTATAGTTTCATCAGTAATACCTATAACAACCTCTTCTACCACACCTTGGTAAAAATTAAAATTGATTTTTCATATCTATTCTATTCATGTAAAAATGAAAAATATATTCATCACCTTTTGGTGGTATTTTGCGTTGAAGAAAAAAAGTGAGACAAATATATAAGAATGTAGATATTTATTAAATACATAAATACATTACATATACATGATAAGATATTTATTAAATACATATGTTTGAGAGATAATTTAATTTAATTTATATATAATTTGAAAAATATAATATATTGTTTTAACTAATTTAGGTGGAAACCGGAAGAATCTATGAAAGAACAAGAAATAATAATACCAGTGGAAATAGAAAAATCTGATTTATCTTTGCAAAGTTCGAAAATTGAAGAAGAAAAAACAGGATTGGTACCTATAGGAAAAATCGTTACCATCGAAAAGAGTACGGAGGTAAGAGTTTAATCGCAGAAGAGTTTCTATTTTTAAATACTTTAAAAGTAGCAACAGAATAATATCTCGAGTTTATCGCAGGAAAAATCTGGAAAGATCGTAAAAGAGGTCACGGAAACGACTACTTTACGTGTCTCGCACGACACTCATTTAGGGGTGGCATCTTATAAAGTTACCTCAAACACCTTGGAAGATCATAGACAAAATGTTGATATTAAAAAGATGCAAGATTCGAATCATACTTTAATCGAAGATGAGAATACAAAATTAAATGGTATCGATCGAGATGATATCGATGTCACTTCTGTCAAAGGTACGTTGGATAATCTTTTTTTTTTATTAATAAGTTTTCATCATATTATATCAGTTTTATTTTCGAAAAGTAGTACGAGTCGATATATTTCTATAATAAAAAAAACAAAAAACAAAGCCCCAATGTGCAGTACAAATTTTTATGAATCTATTAAAAAAACAAAAAGTTTTATCATAAAATATTAATTGATCGATAATTAAACGAAAGAAGATGTATATTGTTGTTTAAAAGTATGGAATATAAGTTCAATGCATTGATATTAGTATTTTTTCTTTTTTTTTTTTCATTTTTATATAATTATTTTAACACTTCTGAGCAGTGATGATTTCGTGGATAAAATTTTGCTATAATATAAATAGAGTGCATTAGAGTATATATTAAAATAATTATTAATTAATCGAAGGAAGGGGTGGAATGTGTATTATTGTCTAAAAGCACTGTGTATATGTTGCACGCATGTGTGTAATGGGAATAATATTAGTAATAAATAGAATTTCATTATTTGGAAAGAGTCATATAAACAACATTGAATAAAAGAACTTTCATAGAGAACAATGAACCAGTCTAACGGTGGATTTCGAACAGCACGGTGCTTGCAAGGTATACATAGTGCTTTTAGACAATAATATACATTCCTTTCGATTAATTATAGATTAATTAAGATAAATTGACCATGGTATACTGTACTATATTTAATATTTTAGATTGTTTTAACATTTCTGATCAGTGATAACTTAAATGCAATTTAAGATTATATATTTTTGTTGTTGTATTTTATCGTTGTTTTTTTCTCGTTCATGTAATAATTGTTTAAAACAAAAGTATATTATTATTTAACTCTATTATATAATATAAAGTATAATTAGAAATGATATTCCGTGAGTAACATTTATCAATATTTTTGTTCAATCAAATCTCAAACGTATAACTTTTAAATAAATTAAGATAAAAATAATTAAAAAATAAATAGTTTAATATTTAATTTTTAATCGTATATATGTGTGTGTAATATGATTTTTAGATTTATCCGAGCAACCTAAAGAGGAATCGAAGAAAATTCCGTTTAATACAACAACGAAGAAGGAAACAACAACAATCGACGAAGAAAAATCGCAAATTATTAGCAAGGAAACGAAAAATATTTGTTCGATTATTAAAACATATACGAGACATCACGAGGATAGTGGTATCGAGATGTCACCAACGAAACGAGATAAAGATGATCTCGAGGGTGAAGAGTTTTTGGAAAATGCAAGGAAGGTGAGTCGTTCGATCGAGGATGTCGTTGTGAAAAACGTTGATAAAAATTCTTCGATCGATTGCTGCAGTTGTAGTTGCGCACACGAAGCTGCATGCTTCGCTGTTTACGACGTTACGACTTCCGGTATCTCCAAATTTGCCGAAATAACATCCGTTGCTTTGGCAAATGAGAATCGTCGTCGTCTGGCTTTAGCTAATCCAAGCTGATTAATCCGATTTGTGTGACAAGTTCTTTTTTTTTTTTTTTCTTTTTTTACATTTATTCTTAATCTAAATTTTAATTATTTACGGATGATACAAGATTTCGAAAAATTAAACGAAATAAAATAAATATTGTTTATATATATATATATCGACGATTTTGATTATTTAATTGATTATTAATATCATTTTAATATGCTCGTATCAATTTGATGATGATTTTTCTAAACGAAGTTACATGAATCGAAATACGATCCCACGTAATACAATATAATATATTATATCATACAAATTTAAAAAACAATTCTAATGGAAAAAGATTCATAGTTGGAATTTTGATTAAAATGACAGAATTCAAAACTTTATTGCATGAATTAATGATTACTTTTGTTGTTGTTGTAAATAAAAAGTATCGTATATTAAATATATACCCAAAGAAAATTTGTATTTGTTTCTGCACGGAGATATTTGCGATTTATTATTGCATGCGTATATATATATATATGATATATCGAAGGTAAGTAATGAATTTTAATTTTGATTATTATGGAATTAAATTGAAACAAAAGGGGTGCACGTTTTTTTCGTTTAACCCTTTCAAATTCACCGCCGTCGTAAGTCGTCGTATTTGTTCGGGTAATCTTCGATGATAATCGGCAACGATCGGTAGTGCTCGGTTCTTGACTGTAAGCTTTGAAGCCGTTCGAAAAGTTCGGATCTTTTAGTCTCGGTTCAGCTTGGCCTCCGTGCTAGATCTGTCGGTGACGTGACATGTTCGTGACATGTGTCACACGAGTGTTGTTAACATTGTCGACATTGTTGCTTGAACGTGGATCGATTTAGGTGATTTCTCGCTATTCCTTTTTTTGTTTTCTTTTTTTTTTTTTTTTCTTGCGTGCCATTGAATTCAAATATATAATTACTAACATTTAATATTAATTCAAAATTGGAAAAAATAGATTTTCTTGTTTTTTTAGATCATTTATATATCGAGAACGTTTTTATTAAATACATTAATAATTATAGAATATTTTTTAACGATAATTTCGAATGTGCGATTCTCGTTCGAATCGTTTGTTTTTTTTTTTTTTTAAAACTTTCCTATTTCGTTTTACATATTTTCATTGATTTTTTTTTCTCGTTGTTATATTTTTATAAGTTTAAATTTTGTTCATAGTCTATAACCGATTATATTCCTATCAGTAGTAGAAATTATTCGATCATTTATAAATATATACCGTTGCTGTCGTAATCAAGTTTTGATTCCGTATTATTTTTTTTTTCTTTTAAAATATACTATCTTTTAATCAAAGGTTGTACACCAATTTTTCTTTACATAATAAATTATAAATGAGACATAAGCGAGGGGGGATTATTGGATCCGATCATTATTCATTTTTAACATCGAAATTTATTTTACCGTTTAGTAGATGAAAAGTAAATTACAATCACGTAAGAGAATTATCATTGAATTTCCATAGGGGCCTAACTCAACGGTGTCACGTTAAAACAATAAGTCACGTGTCGACGGTGTTTTACCATCTCTCTCGTCATTTTTATCCAATGACTTAACTCTTACTACCGTCGTCGTTTTAACTTTGGCAAAAGAAGATACAAATAATTCATTTTATCTTATGACTAAACGCATAGTCAACAAATTACGCAAAACAAAAAACCCCGAGGCAGCCAAAATTTATATTATTTCCAACGGATTATTCAATCTCTTTCTTTTATTCGTTTTTTCGATAATAGTATCCCCCCACCCCCTCCTCCCGTCTCCCCATTTATTCGATAAATTTTCATATACATACGTGACAGTTGAATAATATAAATATAAACGATAAGAAAACGTAAGGAATAATAAAAGATCGGGGGAGGAAAATATGATCGTTAAAACCGACACATTATTACGATTTGCGATAGGTTGAACAACTTCTTATATACATATACATAATGAGACAGCGGGTCTTAATTAATCAGTGACGCCCCATGAATATTAATTATTAGATTACGTGCAATTACTTGTATGCATCCGACGTAACGTTCCGGTCGTTAAACAGAAGAACGTTCGTTAAAGCACATATCTTACGATAAATTCGCATAAGATTCTCGTACAGATCGTTCCCTTTTCAAAATATTTACAATTAATTATTATTTTCAACATTTTATATATATTATATATTATTTTAACTTTTTTTTTTTTTTTTCTTTTATTTTTTAAGAGATAAGAAAATATCAATGCGTACAACTATCGCGAATAGGAAGAATAATTTAATTTTTTTTTTTATACTTCAAGTTCCCCGATAGTCGTCGTCCGATTGGAGCTTTCGATGTGGTGTACTTCTTGTTCGGAGAACGCCACCAGTCAGTCCGGTTTTATCCTCCCATTCGTTCGTCCGTGTCGGTGACGTCACTATAGAAAGATATACCCATAATGTATAAACATAACGACGACGAGTCGTGGTCTGTCGTATGCCGAGCTTTTATCGATTTTATTCATTAATCTCATCCATTACACACACACACATACACAAGTATTACATCACGAGAAAAATTAACGAACATTAACGAGAAAAAACCTTGCCCCCTTTCCTAAAAATAAAGAATAGGAAGAAGAATAAACAACAATTCTAATCGAAAAACACAAATTAACGTGTAAAACTCGTGAGATTGGCTGAAAGTTGGAATAAGATTCGGTTATGTCTATTTTAAACGCTATGATTAAGGGATACACAGCATTCTATATTCTACACGAAGAAGAACATTCTTTCGTAGGCGATGAGAAGAGAACACACGTTTCTTACATACATACATACATACATAGTACGTGCTCGTGTGTATCAACTGCCCCTGCTTAGCCAGCCCTCCCCCCGCAGCCCGGAATTCGCGTGAACGCGACTTGGCCTAATGCCAAAATTAATGTTAATCGCTGGAACTAAGTCTAGGAGAACTTCATTTTGAATTTCGTCAAAGAAAATATATATATATGTATATATATATATATATGTATAATGAATTTTAACTTAAAGCTTTTACTATTCTCGATCCTGACATTTAAATAGTGCGGGCGTTAAAGTCTCCGGGAGAGATATCTAATCGTTAAATCGTAGGGATACACTTTCAGTACGTTTTCATACTTTCTTTTCGGAATTATAGTAATTGTTTCCTTATAGAATAATTTTTATTAAAATAATATATGGAAAATGTTGAATATAAAATTTACGTAGGGATAGAGAATAATAATAAAAGTATAGTAAATATCACGTGCGAATTAAATATACGAACCGTGAAAGAGATATACTTAAATGTGCATATTATATTCACACACAGAGAGAAAAAGAGATAGAGATAGAGATAAAGAGAGTGAGTTTGAGGACTCTGAGTGTGGTTTTGCTGGCATATAGCCTGATAGTTATCGTTCGTTCTTAACCTTAACCGTTAAAATTATTCAATGTCTTTTCCAATTAAAAGGATTAACCTAAATCGATGCCACGATTATTTTCTTTATATTTTTTTATATATATAAATGTGTGTTCTTTTTTTTTATTTTTTGTTCCTCACCCACATCGTGTGTCGATTAAATAAAAAACCAAAAACGAAATAAAAAAAAACAAAAAGGCGATAACAGGGAAAATGGTGGACGGACACGATTCGAGGGAAACTATGGACAAAAGTCCGGAAGGATCTGTTGAAGATTCGTTAATGATTCCTGAGGATAAAGAACATTCGCAGGAACAGAATTCTACTACTACCGGGAGTACACCTACTACTACCATAAGTACTATAGCTGTGCAAAGTGGAGAAACGCGTTTGGTTATCGCGTTGCTACAGGTAAGAGGATTATCATTTATTCTACGAAATGTGTGTGTGTGTGTGTGTGTGTGTCATTCGTTGATAATCAATTATTTTATACATTTATAACATAATAATTGATAATAATCAATCCCAAAAGTTTCTTGCTTCTTCTTTTTTTTTTTAAATTTTATTCCTAAAGAAACAATTCGGAAATAATTACGAAAATACTTGTATTATTAAATGATATAAATTAATGATTCCCGTGTTAAATTTAAGTATCGAAATGTTACATTTTCATTACGTTTAAACAAAACAATATATATTTCAACAATCGAGAGATTGAAACAAACTTTTTAAAATCGAATTAAATTGATAACAATCGGAATATTGTAATATATTTGCGAGTACAAAGCTAACGATTGACCGGTAACGTAAGTAACAGAACAAAAAAAAAACAGGTAACAAAGAGAAGATGATCGCAAGTCGAAAATATATTCTACGAGCGTGTTGAGAAAGATGAAAGGCGTTTGACGTGTAGACACGACGGTAACAGGAGGGAAAAAGGGGGATGATGGAAGAAGTAGGGGGAGGGGGTGGGGTGGGAGGAAACTCGCATCATGTAGACGCATACATTATGTACCTCTACGTAAGTAGGAGCTTTCGGTTATATACCGAAGTCCATAGTGGTTAGATATTTCGGGAGAATTGAGTTGAGTTGAGTTGAGTTGAGTTTGCGAAGAGAACGAAAAGAGAGAGAGAGAGAGAGAGAGAGAGAATAAGTCTATAGCTATTTCCGAGTCCTCTCGAAACCGTACAAACGTTTTAGGTATCCATCCCATCGAGCAAAACGAATTCGGCGAAACGTTCAACGAAGGATAAATTTAAACCGCGTTTCTCGTATGCGGCCACGGGTTACCTCTCCTTCTTGAAAGTTTTCTCATTCTACGGTGCCACATATAAGAAGAGGAACAAGAATAAGAATAAGAATAAAAAGAAGTAGAAGTAGAAGTAGAAGTAGAAGTAGAAGTAGAGGAGATGCGTTGGCTGGCTGGCTAGCTGGTGTGTGTATTTTTTTATTTATTTATTTATTTTAACAAAATTTTTGTTCTCTTTCAAAGGATTAGTTCGTTGCGGTCGGTAGACCGGTGAGAACGATTAATGAACCACCATTGGGTTACCCATAAAAAAAACAAAAAGAATAATCTGACACTTACCGCAGACTCGCAGACTCACACACACATATTCGCTTAAGGACTTTAATATTATCGAGAATCTAATATATATATATATATATATATATATATATGTGTATATATATACACGTAATAAGATACGTGTTTAATGTATTTAAAAGAAAATATTAAAAATCTGATATAATTTTAGCACACAAGTACACAAATAAGAAGAATATAATACAATATTATTTATTTTGTTGTTGTTAAATTAACATAGTATTACGTCTATTCAGTGCATCTCTCTCTCTCTTACTCACTACTCATTCTTCTTCCTTATTTCCTCTCTTACAAAATTTCAACCTTGGTATAAATTTCTCGTAAAACGATACACTTTTGTATCTCGTATTCTTAACGATCATATACACCCTTTTTTTTTTTTTTACATCTCCCTATCTCTCTCTTTATATTATACGTATAGATAAATGAGTGAGGGAGTTTAAGAGTATAAATATATGTATGTATGTGTCTGTGTCTGTGTGTACGGAACCACGTTCCGTGAAAGACGACAGATTTGTGTGCAGAGAGAAAACGACAGAACGGTTCACGTGTAACAGGTCGAAAGAGGAGGAGTAGGAGGAGGAGGAGAAGGAGGAGGATGATTCCCCACCCTTCCTCCCACCCTTCAACCCTTCCTCTTTTTCTTTCTTTTTTTCTTATTCTGTCAGGGAGATCTCCTGCACGTTCTCATGTAATCTAACAAACCGGTATTATACGAGCTGTGTCGGGCGTGATCCTTCCACACAACGCCAATGTTTCCCCCCTTCCCCCTTTCCCCTTTTCCCCCTTATCGTATCTACGACCTTACGACACTGACTCCCGCCTACCCAAGAAGAAGAAGAAGAAGAATAAAAAGAAGGAATGAAATAGTATAGGAAATAAGAAAAAAATTAAGACAAAAAAATTGAACGAAAAATATGTGTATATAAAAAATGCAAAAAAAAAGAAAAGAAAAGGAAATGCAGTATTCGTTAAAAGACACGAAAGAGAGGGGAGGGGGGTACGTAGTGTGCGTAGGTGATACTTACCTGTTTACTTTCGAAGTATCATTTTTCTATATTAATCACGTTATCATTATTATTATTATTTGATTTTTGTTATTTAGTTGTTTTATTTTTCTGGGCATAAAAACTAAAAAAAAAAAGAAATTAAAATCATTCAAAGGCGCGATAAGATTTTGGTATCTCGTAAATGTTACGACGAGAAGCAATTGATTCGATCGGTAATGAAGATAAGATAAGGAAATGTTTTTTTTTTTTATATAGAATAAACGAAGACAAGTATTGTTTTATTGCGCGATTGCGATATTTAATTTTAAATAATGGGGGACGAATTAAAAAGACTTCTTATGTACATATGGTTGTCAGGTAATAGTAAAATGTATATACACGTTAACATTAAATAGATATTGTTTAATTAAATCGTAAGAAGAGAAAAATAAGAAACGGGAAATAATTATATAAATATATATGGTTTGTATTTTATAGAAAGCGTATATAAAATAATTTAAATATAATTATTACAAAAATAGTATTTTAT